CCAGTCTTCCGCGGACTCCATGGCAACTGTCGCTCAGGTAGCTCACTTCCGCCACCCCACTTCCGCTTCATAACCTTCCGGGCGGGAGGGGCCTTCTCGCGAGGAGAGGGCGCGTCCTGCTCCGACGCAGGGGGTGTGGCCTCGCGCCAGGGGCGGGGCTAGAGTTGCCCGAGCGCCGCCAATGGCCAGCTGGACCCGTGCTCTGCTAGGTTAGGGCTTCTCCGGGCACGGACTCCATGGCAACTGTCGCTCAGGTAGCTCACTTCCGCCACCCCACTTCCGCTTCATAACCTTCCGGGCGGGAGGGGCCTTCTCGCGAGGAGAGGGCGCGTCCTGCTCCGACGCAGGGGGTGTGGCCTCGCGCCAGGGGCGGGGCTAGAGTTGCCCGAGCGCCGCCAATGGCCAGCTGGACCCGTGCTCTGCTAGGTTAGGGCTTCTCCCGGCAAAAGTTTGTGGAATCAGGAATTCCTGGGATATCAGCTCCGGCCGGGGCCTGAGGGACTAAATACCGTTCGTTTTACGACCGGGTATTTGCAGATCAGAGGGCCACGGCCAGATAAGATACAGGACGGCCGGTTAAATTCGAAGTTTAGGTTAAATAACGGAACACTTTTTCTTGTAAGTATGTCCATGCAATATTAGGCCATCTTATACGAAAAAAAGGATTGCTTATCTGAAATTCGAATTTAACTGGGTGTCCTTTATGTTTTGCTAACTTTGGCAATCCTACGGAAAGCCAGAGAAGAGTGAGAGAGAACAGCAGGGTCTGGATCCCAGCTGGCCCGCACCCTTGTGGGTGCTGGGGGCTCCCCGCAAAGCTTGGCGTGAGCACGAAATGAACGGGGTGAGCAAAGCCCCGGGAAATGTAGGTGTAGTGTAGGCAGCTGCCTTTTATGGGTGAGGAAACTCGAGAGACTTGCTTGTGCCAGTAGGTGGCAGAGAGGAGAGTAGAACCAATTGCCTGGCACAGGACCTGGTGTACAGCAGGTGTGGAGTACCTGTTTGCTGAATGAGCTAGTGAGGTGTCCCGAGTCAGTGCCAGGCTGGTACCATGGAGTGTTCTGGGCATTTTGGAACCAACCCCATCTCCAGCCCCCTTCCCCGCCACCCTATCCCCTCAAACACACTGGAAGGAGAGGACCAGACATTCTATGTAAAGAGCAGGGTTTTATTCACAACTTCAACAGGGAAGCAAGAAATACAGCAGGAACGTAAGTTGTGTCTGCACGGGTGATATTCCTGGTGACCCGACCAGAAATCACAGTAATGGAGTAACAGAGATTTGAGCCCAGAATTTACATCCAGATGGGGCCACTACCAGGGTCCCCTTCAGCACCTTCCCGGGGTGGGCACAGTCTAAGCCACGTTGTGTCTTCCTCATTAATGGCATCACTTCTGCAGCATTTGCACCAGCAGCCTCCTATACTGAAGGGGAACACAGAAGAGCTGACCTGGGCACAGGGAGCCAATAATAGGGCATTCTGCCATTCCTAAGTGCTAGGCATCCACAGAGTCAGACAGGGACAGACTCTCGTCTGAGGCAGGCAGCCCCCACATCCCCTCTCCCCCCAGCGCCTGAAGAAGGGTGATTTTCTCACATTAACAGCCCAAACCTCAGAGTGGTCATGACATTCAAGGGAGACTATGGAAGTAAATTCCAAGTACGGTGGCTGGCCCCCTGCTAGGGTTAGCGTTTTCACTCCCTGACACCTCACTTCTGAAGCCCGTCCCCAGGGCTAGGGACTGCTTCCTCTGAGATTCTCTAGTTGGTCTGCTCGTTTCAGGCCGCCTAGACCAATGGCCCCCTGAGGTAACATCGTCTCCCTTCAGAGTAGCCAGCCCGAGGTCCCCGGGGGCAGGTGGGTCTGTGCATCAGGAGAGTCACAGCTGCACCGTCTCTAGGGCATGCCCCTCCCTTCTTTCAACATGTAGGCTTTATACGCTAGGCACAGTGGGGGATTCAAAGGTGAGCCAGGCCCAGCCAGTGTGGCTCAGTGGTCGAGTGTTAACCTATGAACCAGGAGGTCACAGTTCGATTCCTTGTCAGGGCACATGCCCGGGTTGCGGACTCAATCCCCAGTGTGGGTTGTGTAGGAGGCAGCCGATCAATGATTCTCTCTCATCACTGATGTTTCTATCTCTCCCTCCCTCTCCCTTCCTCTCTGAAATCAATAGAAATATATTAAAAACAAAGGGGAGTCAGCAACAGGTGCTGCCAGGGTTCTCAGACCATCTAGCTCCCATTTACTAAGCACTTTCTATGTGCCTGGCGTCATGCTGAGCAAATGATACGGTCTCATTTAACGGGAAATGGCACTGTTATTCCCATATTATGGGTGAGAAAGATGAGGCTTAGAGAGGTTAAGTGACATTTCTAAGGTCACACAGCTACTAAGAGCTAGGTTTTGAATCTAAGCACACTGTCACCAGAACCCACCCCTACCACTCACTCTGCCTTCCACACACAGCACACCGTACCCGGGAAGGTGGCGTGGGACAGGGACCACCCCAGGGGGCAGGGAATGGCTACAGACTAAGGCTGGCTTGGTCAACCAAGGGTGATTTTAACGCCACTCATTTCCCTTTGCTAGAGCACCTGTGGCGATATCTGAGGGCATTTTGGGTTATCACAGTTAGGGAGGTGGGGGGTGCTCTGGTGGACAGAGACCAGGGATGCTGCTAAACTTCCTGTGATGCACAGGACAGCCTCCACAGTCCAGACATTTCGTCAAGAGTATGCTGAGGCGCCCTAACCGGTGTGGCTCAGTGGATAGAGCATCGGCCTGTGGACTCAAGCGTCCCAGGTTCGATTCCTGTCAAGGGCATGCACCTTGGTTGCGGGCACATCCCCAGTAGGGAGTGTGCAGGAGGCAGCTCATCGATGTTTCTAATTGTCTATCCCTCTCCCTTCCTCTCTGTAAAAATTCAATAAAATATATTTAAAAAAAAAAAAAAGAGTGTGCTGAGGCTCAGAAACCCTGCCATAGGCCAGCCACTGAGGCAGGAGACAGTCTGGGAAGAGCACTGGTCAAGGTGAACTGTCTCGGCTGCTAACTGAGTCTTATCTCCCCCTCTGTGGGCCTCAGTGGCCCAACTCTAGCCACAGGCATATTCAGGGCCCAGCAGGGTGGACAGGTGGGGTGGGGATAAGTCTGTCTGGACTGTGGGCAGAAGGTCCAGCTGCAAGAGGCTGGATAATCCTAGGCTGTGACCTCAGACTGGGCAATCGGAGGGGAAACTTCTCCCCCTACTTCTTATTCCCTAGGGTTTGCTGGGAAGGTCAGCCCCCCGGCCCCTTTTAATTATTTAGCTTCCTTTCTTATTTTAAAATTTTTTCCCTTTCTTTTGATTTCTTCACCTTCTTGTATTTTTCCTCTAAAGACTTCAGAGAGGAAGGGAGAGAGAGATAGAAACATCAATGATGAGAGAGAATCATTGATAGGCTGCCTCCTGCATGCCCCCACTGGGGATGGAGCCCACAACCCAGGCATGTTCTCTTGACTGGAATCGAACCCGGGACCCTTCAGTCCGCAGGCTGACACTCTGTCCACTGAGCCAAACCAACAAGGGCGTCACCTTCCTTTCTTTGGAGTCCTCTCCCTTTGAGCTCTGGATCACAAAGACAGCCTGGAATCCCTGGATTTCTGGGGCCCATCACACCTGGTTGGGCAGGCACCCCCCAATCCCAAGGCTGGACCCAGGGGCAGCCCCGGCTAAGCCTCTCCCGGGCCAGTGGTGGGGGCCTGGCTCACCTGGGTGTGAGGTGCTGGGCCGCCGGGGCTCATGCCCAGAGCTTTCTT